GCACAACTGCAGCCCAGTTGGATTTCAGTGTCAGCCAACATCAGACCCCGGAGGATGTTGATTACAGAGTCCTTGTTTGTAACCTAATGTTCGCATAGATGATGCAAACAAAGGTCGGTAGATCAGTAACCATTAAATCCCCAATGGTATTGCTATTTTGTTTAAAGTTCCTTCGTGACAGATCTCCAGGTATTTTTCACAATGGAAAAAAGGGAGGCACAGCGCTGTTAAGTGGAGTACGCGGTCATTTGTCTCCTGTAAACAACAGCGAAGTATACACCTATTTTTGCTAGTGGGCACAGTGTCTCCAGAAGGGCAAAAACAGAGTGGGAACCCGAAAACCGACAGGGAGACGCAGGTGCAGCCTTCCCCTGGGGGTCCTGGCCTCCAGGGTCCCTTCCAGGCGGAGGCCTCACGCCCCGCCACCACGCCCCGCCACCGAGGTGCTGTGCTGCTTCCTCCCGCCGCTTCAGCTCTCGCCGAAGAGGCGCTCTGTCCTGGCTCACTAGGGATCCTCAGCCCAGGGCCTCACGCACGCAGTAGGCATTCAGGAGGTGTTGACTGAATGAACCAATCCCGGGTCAGACTTACAAATGAACTCCCGTCCCAAACCCATCTTTGGCAGCAGGTGCCCTGATGACGCAGATGTTCCTTGGAGGAGATCCACCTCCTCTTTTTCCCGATTTTCTCCTTGTCCGGCAACCCTCTCTGCAGTTCACCTCGTTTCCCAAGGGGCCGTCTCTAGAACTCGCAAGCGTCATCGCCCCACACCCCACGGGCAGGAACAGAGCAAACTGAGAAAAGACACCATTTATTATGCATTTGAAACATCACATGCACTTTTAAAAATTTAAACTCTTTATTTAAACATTTCAATAGCATCTTATCAATTTGGTGGCAGCAAAAGCAGCACTACCAAAGACAAGTGTTTTGAAAAGCATTTACAAAAATATCACGCACAAAGTCCTATCTTGCATCTTTAAAAATAAATATTCAAAATACTTCCACCCAACTCCCAAATTTAGTTTTATATAGGAAATTTTGATTTATAGATTTATCCCGTAATATATGAAACATCTGTATACATTTTATCTGACTTAACTGCATAGGCATTAGTTAGTCCCAATTCTAAGAAGAGTGAAAAAAATGCTACTTTGTGTAGTTTTTATGTATCTGAGGACTGTTGTGCAATATACATAAAACTCTTCAGAAAACCAGTCAGCACCATCATTTTCTTTTTCTGAAAATACAGTATTTATGAGAACACCAAAAGAACGGTCTTAACCAATAAAACTTAAATAATTTTTAAAACATCTGTAACACTTTAAGTGCCTTGCAGATATCTCATTTATAAAGTCTGCTCAGTAAAATAGTCTAAATATTAAATATTAACTATAAACAATGAGTCTCAAGGAATTGAGAACGGCCGACAGCCATAGTAAGAGGCAAATCCCAGCTAGAGGCGGGAAGAAAGTGCCACTGTGAGAAAAAGTATAACCACAAAATGTAATGGTTTCAAGAAATTGCTACCCTGAACAATCCCCTTGGATAACCGTCAGTGGAGGAAAAATTTTAGACTCGGAAAGACAGGGAGCAGGTTAGTGTTCAACTCTGCAGCAAAATTCAAACCAGACGCAGACGACACCCACAAGCCTGGGTGTCCCGGCTCCCTCAGACACTGCGCAGACTCGGGGACAGCCCCCGGGGGGATGAGCCTCCTTGAGACCTGAGAGCTCGAATGATGTGTCCATTTAGATCCAGACCGCCCCCTTTCATGTGAGACCCCCCGTTCAGCCCACAGTAAAACAGACTAAGCAGAAATACACACTGCAGGAATTTCCCCACCTGGTGCGGGATAAAGGGAAAAATCCTACCCTGGAAAAAAGGAGTTCACAACCGAAACTTGGTGACGCGGTTTTTCCCTGAAAGAAACGTGTGCTGGATCGAACACATGAAATCGATCTGCCCCCGAAAGTCCTTGAGAAGGGCCAGTGAAAGGCTAAATATCAAAGCTTCAAACACTTCGACCTTTTAATTTGCTTTGTTCCTGATGTCAAGAAAATACAAATATCAAGAGCTTCATGTTCAAAAACAAATCCCCAAAACAACACATGTGTCTTTGTGACCCACACATTCAAAGGAATCTCCACAGAGATCGGCTGTTGCTGGCAGACCTCGGTGAAACTACGCATTCGACATGCAGTGTTTTCTGTGGACAGAAGAGCAAGCAGGGCGTCCACTCCCAGTGGCAGTCGGTGGCGTTTATTTAGGGGTGACAGTATCCTGTTACTCCATGTGCCCTGGTTCACAAAGGGTTCCAGTGTGTCAGGCTGTCCCAGTATATACAAGATGTACAAGAACTGACAGCAGGATCTTTACTTGATGGGTTCTCCGTGGACTCTGAACCGATAAAGACACGTGTATTCCGGATGGCCCCAGTTAGAGAAAATCCGAAGTTCCACTATTTGGAAAGCTCTCTCGGGTCTTTTCTGGAATCACAAGGTGGGGAGGAAATCACGATTATCCACATGACACCCCAAGCCTGATCACTTTCCCGACCATGATATTTGAGAGTAAGCGGTCAAGCTGGAGGATTAAGTTCTCAGTATGAACTAAGTCACGTATCCTAGGACACGTAGCTCAGGTAGAAACGGACTCCTAGCGGGCCCCAGATTTACTTTCGGCTTCCGGCAACGGGACACATGCACGTGGAACCAAATATACGCTAAGAAGGCTCCTCTGGGAAAAGTCAGGAGGCTCAGGGTCACTCGCTCAGGCTGATGCCCACGGACCCCACCGGGCAGCTTTGCTGAGGCCAGCGGGGGGTCCTGCTGAGCCGAGAGCAGGCGGAGTGCGCGTCAGGCCTCGGGAAGCTACGGGCCAGGCCGAGCCGCGCAAGTGCTTACCGGCGCGTGGAACATCTGGAGGGACTCCCCGTCTTGATCATATGTAAACCGTCCCAGGAGCCGTCCTTCCTCCTGGTGTTCGTTTTCTAGTCCCTGAGACCAAAGCCACACAGTCGTTAACAAATGGAAAAACGACACTGCGTTAACGAAGACTGCTCTCCTTCTACACAATCTGGGAAGATTAAAGCAGGAATAAGGCCTTCTCCAGAAGACCTGGTAAATGCTGGGCATTCCACAACCACACAGCTCACGACAGGCCCCCGAGGGAGGTATTGTTCCTCCCGGACGTGGACAGGGAAAAGCACAGCTGGAACCGGCAAGCTACCAAGAGAGGAGGGACTGACCGCAGGCACCCCTCTGTGACCGCCCGGCCCGCGGCGCTCCACACGCCACAGCGGAGCCCCAGGGCATGGGATGAGCCCGGGGAAAGGACGGCGGCTCAGCAGGCTGTGAAGCCGCAGGAGGCCGACTCGCACGAGGGCAGACGGGGCGCCAGGAGCTAGTGTGGAACAGGGACGGAGGCTCGGTTTGGGAAGACGAAGTTCCGTGAGGATGGCGCGGCAGCGGCACAGCCTCGTGAACGCGCCGAGTCCGGCAAACCGCACGCTTAACGTGGCTAAGGGGTGACTTTGGTTTGTATTTTGGCGCATCAAGGAAGCAGCCAGTGGGAAGTACAGGCGACTGTCAGAGTGGGTCAGAGCGGGAAGGGACTTCCGTGCGAAGCGTGGAAGCAGTGACAGAGGACGAGCAGAGGTGGCTACGTGCAGCATCAGGACGCACACTGGGAAGCGTGTCTGTAAGAGGGACGCGTGACAGGCGTTTCTATGTGGAAAAAGCTCAGATGTGCTTAAGGAAACTAAGACTCCCGGAAGATAAATGAATAAAAACAAAATGAACCTACAAAAGAGGAAACATGCGTGTGAAACACAGAAACGTAGACCAAGTAGGCCGTTTTTACCGGCCAGGCTAGTGGAGGTTAGGACCAGAGGGCTCAGTGAGGTGAAGCACTGGCCAGGGCACGCTCACGCCCCCCTTCCGCCCCCCGCCACGAGGTACACGGTGGTGCCACTGTGAGCATCCAGTCTACTGGGGGGGGGGGGGGGGGGGGGAGGGAGACCGCGGGTACGGCCGCCGGCCCCCAACACAGAAGCTGCGGTGACAGCGGGAGAAGTGGAAAGGTACGTGAGCGCCTCGCTACGTGACGGTGTTTCACGTATTTAAAGATGCGTACGAAGCGTTTATCACCATCACAAAACACAAACTGTGCCGTCTCGGCTGTATCTTTTACAGGGAAAAAAGTGGACAGAGCAGAAAACGCCAGGATATGAACAATGAGTTCTCTGGGTGCTGGGATTCTGGGG